ACTGCTCTATTACAGTAATTAACTGGCAACACTGTTGCCAGTTACTTACTGTAACCAAACTTTCACAGTGAGTAGCTGGCAACAGTGTTGCCAGTGTTCTACTGTAAAAAAGCCTGGTAAGGTCTAACAGTGTGAATAATACTAAATAATGATATAAAAGTTATATAATTAACAAAAATTATCCTTAACACAGACATTAGTAATAATGATCACAAATGGCTATTATCAACATGAACATTACACATAATATACTGAGACTGTAAACATGACACACTATTGTCATGCCGCTTGTTAATGGATATGGAAAATTCTAACGCAGTCAGATTGCGAGAGGACAGTTATGATTAACAGAGGAATAACTGCTTAGTCATTTAGCAATGGAATTGACCAAGTGTTTGTTTTTAAAACTTACATTTTTATTATTATTACAACGATTGTAATTTCAATACAAAGACTTTCATTTTAGATTATATAGCTATACTTGTGTGGCCATCAGGACCAAGGGATAAAATAGACATCTTAAATGGCTAGTGACGCCCCGCCCATGGGTATTTATCATTTATTCAAAGCACAGAACAAGTGCATGGAGGACGACACCAGCAAAAACAATACGCAAATAAATAAATAAATCCACAAATTCTTGCATAAATAAAACAAATAAATATAAAATTGTATGTGTGTGTGTGTGTGTGTGTGTGTGTGTGTGTGTGTGTGTGTGTGTGTGTGTGTGAGACACTATACCAGTCAGAAGTTTGGGGTCAGAAAGATTTTTAAATGTGTTAAAATAAGCTTCTGCTCACCAAGGCTGCATTTATTTAATCAAAAAACAGTACAAACAATATAGTTGTGAAATGTTATTACACGATAAAATAACTGTAAAAAAAAAGTCTTCAGTCACATGATTCTTCAGAAATCACTAATATTAATTAATATCGCTATATTGAATATTATTAATATTATTATTATTAATGGTAATAGTAAAAAAAATTATGGTGGCTGGACTAATAATTTGATTTGTAAAAACATACAATAAGTAATAAATAATTAACTATAGATTTAACTATATATATATTTACATTTAATAAATGCAGCTGTCACCGGTTTGGTCCCATTATATCCCCTCACCAACCAGCAGAGGCCCTCATCCCCCGAAAATTAACCCCATGCCTGGCACTGATAGCAATCACCATGGTGTTTAAATACTGGCTCAGTCAGTTCCAATAGTATCTGGATGCAAGCTGAGATTGCATCACTCAGAGATGCAATGTCAAACACAATGCACTCAATGGAGCTAGAGAAGTCACTGTGAGGGGTAGGGTTAGGGGTGGGGTAAAGTGAGTGCATTAAAAAGCATTGGATGCAGCTCAGATTGTATACGCTGATTACTGTCTGGACTTGTGCTGCTTACTTACTAAGTTACGTTGCACACTGGATGTCTGATTCCTTGGGTTGTCTTGCTGTGTTTAGAATAAATGCTCGCAAATGGATCCACATTCCTCAGTTATACTTACAGTACCCTTGATGAACAAAATAGTTTTCTTTAAAAAAAAAACCATGGAAAAAACCATGACCCCAAACCTTTGACCAGCATATATGCATATACACGGTGGATGTTCATGTGTACTGGTATTATTTAAAATATATGTTTTAAATGTTGTCTGAACCACTTTCCCAATGGCCAATGGTTATCTATTATATCACTTTTATATAAAATCACTCTTTCTACTAAATCCTAAAGATGTTCAGGCAGTTTGATACAATTTGCAAATCTCATGAACGCTTCTTGCAGAACTTTAAACACGTAAATGCAAAATATATGCAACACAACTGTTCAAAATATAAGCCAAAAAGAAAGGTACAGGTGCACAAATTTCTGCTTTAAATAATGGATTGAAATCATATGAGAAGGAGAGTATGAAGAGGGTGAGAAAGTAGTCTAGTGACTGTGAAGTGTAGTGAAGACTAAATCTGACGTGGAGAATGTCCACAGATTGCAGAAAACAAAGATTAGTTTGCTGCAGAATCAGATTCTCATTGAGTACATTTAAAATTGCATGAGTAGACATTAACATGCCTCTCATTTATGATTACGTTGACCATTCAGGCTTTTGCAGTTTGGGCTTCTTTATTGTTACCGAACACGAGTGAATATAGATGTTCAATGGTGAATGTTACTGTAATAGGGAATTAAATATACTTTTCTAGTAATTCCAAAATTTGTTTAATTTAAATAATATATCTTCTGAATGTTCTGCTTTATCTAATTAATGGTCTGTAGTGTGTATTCTGTTGCCTATTGTATGAATGGAGTATGGTTTAAAAAATAGTGATGGCTTCAAGACTTCAAAAAAACTGAATAATTAAAGGTTCACGAAACACCAAAACACGTTTTGAACTGTTGACAGTGGTAAATGTGTCCCACACTGCTAAAAACACTATTAGGACTCATATATCTAACTAAAAAGTGTTAATTGGTTGTTTTTGCGTTATTTCGAGCAAATTCGTACTTCCGGAGACGCCACATTGTGTTGCCAAGCGGGAGAAGATGAATTGTTTGGAGATATGAGTCGTCAATGTTGCTTTTATAATGTGCTGCAGTGAAGGTTTTGTGATCGTTTTCCGCTATGAGAGCGCAGCTGGACTCATGTGTGGAATACAGTGCACACGACGCACGGCAGAAATACATGTTCAAGGAACATTGTTTACTCGAGAGCTTTGTCATCTAGAAATGGTGAAATCCGGATTTGCTGCTTGTTTTATTTTAATAAAGACGAAGCTCTGGTTGGTGTTGATTGTCCTGTCTCTACAGATTTGTTAAGTGTGTGATCAGTGGTCTTTGTTTGTTTATTCAGAGTCAAAGTTAGTTTGTATCATCAGCAGTACTCTTTCAGTGTTCAAAGCAAGTATCTAAGTTAATAAAGTTTACTGTACGTTACATCACTACAATATGATGGACTGTAAAATCGGCTGTAAATGTGGCTCTCCGAGTGTAAATATGTAAGCAGAAATAACAGAAATAACACACACGGCTTTCTGACACTACCTGACGAGTGCATCTAAGTTACAGAGAAACGCAGAGGGTTTTTTTCTTCCTCTCATTCGCCGTCCGGTATCAAACATTGCAGGAAAGACACACGCTTACAGCAATTTCTCAAATCAAATATTACATTTGTCAATAGGGGCATGAATGAAATTCTTGAATGAAGGAGCCAAACTGCAGCTAAAGTCCACCATTTAATAATTTGTCAAATAATTGGATTACTGATGTCCATGTAAACACAGTCACTGTCTTTCTCCTCTGCGTATGTATGTGTGTGTTTGTTTTGCCTCTGTGAAAATCAGCGCGTGCCCATACCGACACTCCCATTTTTATGCAAATTTTTACGGACCATGGCTTTTTCACTCCTCCGACACACACCCTTAACCAGAGCTGGATACGCCCACTTTCATGACTGTTTCTAAAGTAGAGGTGTGAAAACGCCCTGCTGAAACAAGGGGTTTCATGGCCCTTTAAATGTACTAAACTGCTGTCTGGTCTGGTGGTAATGTTTGTTATGTTTTATAATTTCGATTGTATTGCTATATTGAATGAACATAAAATGTCTGTCTTAAAATGTCTAAAACTGTGATTTTATTTTCAGGTAAACATGGGGGCTTCATCAGTGAGTCATATTAAATGCTTAATCTAATTTAGACTTTTGATCAAATTTACAACACACATGTGGAAGATCTTTGTAAGTGATTTACATGCATGCAGTTGTTTTGGTATAGTAATTCTGCTCCAGACATTGTGATTCTTTACATTTAGGTTTGCTGACTTAATGCAGTGGGATTTAAATGGACAATGAAACTGAAACGCCTGGTTTTAGACCACAATAATTCATTAGTATGGTGCAGGGCCTCCTTTTGTGCCTACAGCATTTGTTCGTTTTGGGAATCACAGACAAAAGACTTGCACAGTGGCCAGAGAGATTCTGAGCCATTCCTCTTCAGAACAGTGTCCAGGTAACTTCTTGATGCTGTTGGCGAAAAACCTTCCCTCACTCGCTCCTCCAAATCCTCCACAGAAATGTGGTCCGGTCCCGCGGCGGTACAGCGATTCAGACCTCTACCAACAGGCAGCTCAAATTTAGCCATGAAACCTCCAACTCTAAATAGGCCTGTGTTTCAGTTTTATTGTCCAGCCCCTGTATACTTCCCTTAGCTTTGCCAGACAATGGAAAGTGTTGTACTATAAGGTCACGGGTTCTTATTTCATGGGAAAAAAAAAACCAAACAGAGAAAAATATAAACACTGTAAATCAAACATTCAATTTAAGTCATATTGGATAACATCATTATTTTTCTATTAAATCAATGTAAATGTAAAATAAAATGATAAGCAAATATGAGAAGCAAAGTATGAAAAAGGCTTGTGAAAATGAATGTGGAAAACATTTTGAAACCTTTTTTTAAGAGTGGACATGCAGATGAGCAAATTAAAGAATTGGACACAAGAGAGAGAGAACTGAACACGAGAGAGAGAGAACTGGACACAAGAGAGGAAGAACTGGAGATAAGAGAAAGAGAACTTGAGATAAGAGAAAGAGAACTGGAGATAAGAGAAAGAGAACTGGACCATGGAGAGGGAGAACTGGACCATGGAGAGGGAGAACTGGACACTGGAGAGGGAGAACTAGAGAGAGAACAGGACACAAGAGAAAGAGAACTGATGAGAGGAAAGAAAGAACTGGACAGAAGAGAGAGAGAACTGGAATAAAGAAAGGAAGAACTGGAAAAAATAAAAGAAGAACTGGAGATAAGAAAGGAAGACCTGGACACAAGAGAGAGAGAGATGGAGAAAAGAAAGGAAGACCTGGACACAAGAGAGAAAGAACTGGAGAAAAGAAATGAAAAACTAGAAATAGGAGAGAGAGAAATGGAGAAAAAAGGAAGAACTGGACACAAGAGAGAAAGAACTGGAGAAAAGAAATGAAAAACTAGAAATAGGAGAGAGAGAAATGGAGAAAAAAAAGGAAGAACTGGACACAAGAGAGAAAGAACTGGAGAGAAGAAAGGAAGAACAAGACACAAAACATAGACAACTGGAGAAATTCACTGGAATGTCAAGTCACATTGGCGAGCATTACAAGGTTTCGGGACTTCAAAGCTATGCAATGGAATGCCAGGCCTTATCTTTAGAAACAAAGATACTCAGTACAGATGAACCGATGGTAAGAAAGAAGGCACTGGAAACAAGAGAGAAAAACTTGGAGATAAGAAAGAATGGACTGGACAGTAGAGAAAAAGAACTGGAGAGGAGAAAGGAAGAACTGGACAGAAGAGCGAGAGAACCGGTGATAAGAAAGGAAGAACTAGACAAAAGAAAAAAAGAACTAGACGAAAGACAAGAGGAACTAGTGGTAAGAAAGGAAGAACTAGACAAAAGAGAAGAAGAACTGATGGCAAGAAATGAAGAAGTGGACAGAAGTGAGGGAAAATTGGAAAGAAGAAAGGAAGAACTGGAGAAAAGAAACAAAGACCTGGACACAAGACAGAAAGAACTGGAGAAAAGAAAGAAAGACCTAGACAAAAGAAAGGAAGAGCTAGAGCAAAGAGAGAAAGAACTGGAAAAAACAAATGAAGACCTAGACAGAAGAGGGACAGAACTGGAGCGAACAAATAAAGAAATAGACAGGAGAGAGAGAGAACTGGGAGGAAGAAAAAGGAGTGGCAGTAAAGATGAGCCCCCTAACAGTAAGAATGTTGTCTGTAATGTACATTTCAATGAATGTGAAAACAGAGGAAATAATTATTACTTCAAGAGTTCACACTAAGTTCATTTGGCGTGCTGTCCCGGGAGAGAGCCCTGAGCTCAAAGGATCCTTGGGCCCAGAGTTTCCCCCTCTTTCGCAGGGAGAGGGGAAATTGAGCTCAGGTCAATCTCAAACTCCCCCGCTGCTGAGGCCAAGGTGAACGTCCTGAGAGTAAGCCATTAGTAAAAAAGAATATTTTATCTATAATATAGAGCACATTTGGATGGTGGGAGGAAACCAGGGAACCCGGGGAAACCCACACGGACACGGGGAGAACATGCAAACTCCACACAGAAATACCAGATGGCCCACAGAGGACCCATTGCCATTGGTATTCTTGCTATGAGGCAACAGTGCTAGTCACTGGGCCACCATGCCGCCCATACTGGATAAAGATGGAATAAGGGGAAGGAGGGGGTAACTGATCCGGCATTTTACCCGAGGACGTGGAGGTGTCGTGCACAAAAGTTGAGAACAGCGGGTGGGGGTGTTGTTGCGGACGAAAGTGAAGAGCGGGGGGTGGGTTATCAAGGATGAAAGTGAAGAGGGTTGGGAGAGAAAGAAAGTGAAAGTGAACAGGGGAGGATCCAGCATGTTCCGGCCTAAATTAAGCCCTGGTTTGCACAAATTTGATTTATTTTCTAATTTAAATGATTTTCTAGCATCTCTTTTCTGCTTGTTTTCTTTTAAGTACTAAGATTTTCCCTCACTATTAAATTCTCTAGAGTCCTGATAGTGTCAAAGATAATAATGTCAGTGCTATATTCACATTCAAGTGCTAAGTAATAACACTCAACACTGCTAATACAGATATTCCTTTAAAAAAGATACTACACCTAATGCCGAGTTCAGACTGCATGATTTTCAAAGTAGTCATGTCACAGATGTTTTCACACTGCTTGACTATCTGGGCTGGCGTTTCGTCGCTGCTTTGTTTACACTGCAAGATGGTTCGGCGACATGGACATTCACATTGCATGACTTTACTATAGGAAGAATCGCCGACAACTTCGTCTAAACTACGTCTCACAGCCAAAAACACGTCGTATATCTTTTGTTATTAACTACATAATGAGAAAGAAGCCTTTAATGGGGTAGAACATGTACATGTTTGCTCACCTGGGTTTAAAGGGAATTAGCCATTTCTCCTCAACGTTGATAATAAACTAATTTCTTTCTGTATGAATCGTCAAACAGACACGGTTGCTCCTGAGTCCTGTCAAACCTCCACTAGTTTTTCCTCCATTTCGTGGGTCCAAATAAACCGAAAAAGAGCGCTTTTTGACAGCTCCAGATATTCAGCACGCCAAATATCTCACAGGCATCGGCGACTCATCGGCGATTCTCTCAGATCGCGTCTTTGATCGTTCATACTGTGTGATTGTCACTCACGTGCACGAGCAGCGATTTGCCTGTGATTTAAGGCATTTGTCAGCGATTTCTCAAAACCTGTCGGCGAGCCAAAATCGGGGCTGAAATCACGCAGTCTGAACTAGGCATAAAACTCAATCTGCCTGTTTTTCTGTCTTTTGTGTAGTCTGAAGACAAAACTCAAGCTGCTCCTGGAGTCTGCATCCGCTGAAGTGAGATTTCAGATTACAAGTAAGTCTGAGAACAACTGGTTAATGGATTCATCATCTGATGCACGCTTAAAGAGTTTATTTTGTTTTGTTTTGTTTTGCAGCATTTATGACTGAGATTCAATTCAATGTAGATTGTGTCAATGCAGCTTCACATAGAAGATTATAGTGAACTGAGACCGTGTCAGTTCAGTTTTCAGAGGTTCAGTTCAGTGGTTTATTATTCACTGCTGAGAGTCCAAACACTGAATAGTAATCCATCGATGTGCAGCTCTACAAGTTCTGAACTTAGACGAGCCATTGGAGACAGCGGCGAGGAAAAACTTCACCAATTGCAAAAGGGAAGGATAAAAACCTTGAGAGAAACCAGGCTCAGTTGTGCACGACCATTTCTCCACTGGCCAAACATCTTGTGCAAAGCTGCAGTCTAGGCGCTGGAGGCTGGAGAACGCTGGATCCCAGCGAAGACTCGTCTGTCCCTGGTGTCTCGCAGGAATCAGAAGCATGCTCTCTACTCCTCCATGACCACCACACCAGCTGCTCGGGATACAGCCTGGTCCGAGACTGTGGAAACCTTAGGATCATCACTTCACAGATGCTAAAGAAGATGTTTTAAATAGCTTCCTTTTGCAGAATAGAATATCATGCAGGCAAGGAATGGCCAGAATCAGATTGGCCTTGTAGCTGTAAAGGGGTGGGTTGCCTCCAGGTGCTCTGGTTTCCCCCACAGTCTAAACCAGGGGTCTCAAACTCAATTTACCTGGGGGCCCCAGGAGGCAAAGTCTGGGTGAGGCTGGGCCGCATAAGGGATTTCACAAAAAAAAGTCCTCAAATGTCATTATTAACAGTTTTAATTATTTCTTCTGAACATGAAGTGTCCTGAACATTAATAGAACATTGAGTGAAGATTATGAACAGTTCCTCTGAACATGGCATCTTTTGCCTACTTCTTGCTGCCAGAGACTTGACAGCGCTTCTTCTCACAAATCTGAACCACATTTGGCTTTAGAGCGGTCGGCGCAGGCCACAAAATATTGCCCTGAGGGCCGCAAATGGCCCGCAGGCTGCGAGTTTGAGACCCCTGGTCTAAACACATGCACTATAGGGGAATTGGGTAAGCTAAAATTGTACGTAGTGTATGAATGTAAATGAGTGTGTATGGGTGTTTCCCAGTGAATGGTTGTGGCTGGAAGAGCATCTGCTGTGTAAAACATATGTTGGACAAGTTGTTGGTTTATTCTGCTGTGGCAACCCCTAATCGATATAGGGACTAAGCAAAATGATTGAATGAAAGTTTGTAAGATCCAGCAGCACTGAGTTTATGGCTAAAAATTAATGGAAGTGAATCAGACCAGTAGTCTTGATCTAATAAGGATTCAATGGCTGTGTCCACTATTACATAAGGTCAAGAATAAGAATAAAAAAGAATATTATAGATATATATATATGGTCCAACAGTGCCATCTAGTAAAATTAAAGTTCATTTAAAGTACCCCATCTAGCGGCCAATGTTATATAGCAGAATCAACCAGAATTAGTCACTTTGCTGAATCACACATAGAGAAGTGACTATCAGTTACCATGAAATCTAAACCGCTTCATCAATGGGATCAAATGACCGAGTCAAACAAACTTCACACCAATCATGTCCAGCATGACTGAACTCAGTACACTTTCAGTTCTCAGAGACTCTGGTTCTGCCTCTGTAAAGAGAGAGAGAGTAACAGTAAATGTTAGTCATCGCATCAGTGTAATATATAGAACTTCCTGCTTAATGCTCTGAGAATCAAACACCAAATGCTCTCGATTGAGTTTTTTTATCCGCTTGGCTTTGGATGCTGGCGAAACCAAAAATTCTCACATATATTTAATTGGGAAATTACCATGGCATGGGAGAAAAAAGCCTGAGAACATGTTTTCTATCTCGGTTAATAGTATAGTAACACTACTGCTTAAAAGTTTGGGGTCATCTTTTTGAAAGATTATTCTGTTCATTAGGGCAGCGTTTATTAAACGTAAAAAAAAAAGTTATGTTAATTCAACTTTTAATTAACTGCTTTCTTATTGTATGCAGTTTAAAATGTAATTTTTACTTTGGTGATTATTGCTTTTATAAGTATTACCATTAATAATAATAATAATAATAATGAACATTAGAGTGAGTTCTGAAGGATCATGTGACTGAAGCTGAAAATTAATCTTTAAAATCACTGGAATAAATTATTAAATTAAATGATAAACTACTTTTAAACAGTTATTTTATAGTACAATAACATTTCACAATTATATAATTGTATTTTTGATTAAATAAATGCAGCCTTGGAGAGCAGGAGAAGCTTATTTTAAAACCTTTAAAAATTATACTGACCCCAAACTTTAACTAACTAATTATATATATATATATATATATATATATTTTTTTTTTTTTTTTTTTTACATAAAGAATTGGTTAACACATAAATACATGTAGATTAAACACTCTAGGCAGCACAGTGGGTAGAATAATTGCCTTGCAGCAGTTGCAGCTCCAGTTTCCCCCAGAGTCCATACACGTGCTATTGGGGGATTAAATAAGCTAAATTGGCCATAGTGTATGTGGGTGTGTGCAAGAGTGTATGGGTACATCCCAGTGTTGGGTTGTAGCTGGAAGGGCATCCGGTGCGTAAAAAATGTCCTGGATAAGTTGCTGGTTAATTCCATTGTCGGGACCTCTGATTAATAAAAGGGAATAAGGCGAAAATAAAATGAATGAATACATATATACACTCTAATAAATGTAGCCCAACGTTTGGTCTAAAATTTGGTTAATTTTTACAATAAAATTTAATTCACATCTTTTAACCCAATTGTTTGGTTTGTGCATATTTGTCCGAGCATATAATACAATATATATAAACTTTTATTTTGATTAATTGCAGTTAATCATTTGACATAAGTTTTGACATATTTTTTTATATATTGACATAACTTATTTATCTATCTTATTGACATACATATCTATCAAATTTGTCAATATATAAAAAATGTCAAATGATTAAATGCAGTTAATAGCATTCAAAATAAGTTTGCAATTACATTATAAATCAGTACAGATAAAAAAAACTGTATATATAAAGACAAGCATAAACAGTACACACTGGGTAAAATATATTTAAAACTTACACTCTTAAATATGCTAGGTTTTTGTGACCAAATGTTGGGTCACACATGGACAAACTCAACCTTGTATTAATTACTTTCAATTACAGTAAAATTACATTTTTAGACCCAGAATGGCAGTGCTTGTGCATATTTTACTCAACATTTGATAAAAATAACCCATCATTGATGAGTAAACACTTGTATTTGTTGTGTTTTGTCATGTTTGTGTATTAAAATCCCAAGGTTTTGTCCGCAGTCAGACAATAATCAGATCAGTTAAATGAGCTCCCCACCAAACGGGTCTAGCCTGAAAAAATTTTATATGACGAAGAGACACGGGAATATTTATATTGTGTGTCTTTCCGTAAAGGAAAAGAACAAACAGAATGAAATGAAAACTTCAGTGATTGATGTGGTATAACCGCTGCTATAGGTGGAAATCCCATCACACATGTTAACCTGATCTGGACGACTTCCCTGGATTGAGATGGGAAACCCAGAAATGGTGTTACTCATGCCAAGATGATGCCATTAGCTGATCTGGCAGGAAGATGAGCTCATATTTCCGGCTATTGAAATCCAAAATGTCCTGCATTTACATAAGCATCTTTAGTGATGTTGAAAAAGATTCAAATGGGTTTGTTTTCTGCTTAAGAATCAAAAACAAAATCCCCAGATATTATTTACTGGCACACCATGAGCTGTAAAGTCAGAAATATCACTTATTTAAGCTAGTATAGCATTATTCATTCATTCATTTTCTTTAATAAAGGGCTTAGTCCCTTTATTTAATCTGGGGTCGCCACAGCGGAATGAACCGCCAACTTATCTAGCACGTTTTTTTTACGTAGCGGATGCCCTTCCAGCTGCAACCCATGTCTGGGAAAACTACGGACAATTTAGCCTACCCAATTCACCTGTACCGCATGTGTTTGGACTGTGGGGAAAACAAGAGCACCCACACGAACGCAGGGAGACCATGCAAACTCCACACAGAAACGCCAACTGACCCAGCCGAGGCTCGAACCAGTGACTTTCTTGCTGTCAGGCGATAGCACTACCTACTGTTGTACTATACATAATATAGTGGAAGTGGATCTTAAATATTAATATTTAAAATTTTAAATATTGATATGCTCTTTTAATAAAAATGTTAAATAGTTATCGTTCCATGCATACTGGAAGTGATATTAGTGAGGCCAGCAGGGGGCGCTCAACCTGCGGTCTGTGTTTTAGTCCAAATGCCCCAATATAGTGAAGGGGACGCTATACTGTCAGTGGGCGCCGACTTTTGGATAAGATGTTAAACAGAGATGCTGACTCTCTGTGGTCATTAAAAATCCCATGGCACTTTTTGTAAAGGGTGGGGGTGTAACACCAGTGTCCTGGCCAAATTCATCCCATCAGCCCTTACCCATAATGGCCTCCCAATCATCCCACACTGATGGTATGAAGAGATCCCCCTGATTGTGAAGTGCTTTGGGTGTATGGCCATACACAATAAATGTGCTATATAAATACACATATTATATTACACATTTTTACTAACAACATATAAGTAAACCCTTAAAGTGGATCTAAATTATTGATATTTTAAATGATAAATATTAATATTTTAATGTTATTTAAAAAAACAGGGGTTATTGTTCAATGCACATTTTAGTTTAAGGAAAACTACGAGGCAATATAATATAAGTTTTAATGAATTATTTCTAATAGCAGTTTTGTTTTGTCTTTGGACAACAGTGGTTTATCATGTAGCCAATCAAAGATAATAATTTTAAGGGGGCTAACAATATTAAACGTAACAGTTTAAACTAAAAGTTGTGTTAAATATTCCAGCCAAATAAATTAAATGAGACTTTCTGCATAAGAAAAATATAAGACATTCTGTTAAAACTTGCTCACTTGCTTACCTGGAAAGAAAATGTTTGTGGCTGTTATCCCGAAGATTTTATAGTTTTAGATGTGACTAAATAGTAACTATTAAGCATAAGATAATATAAGAAATTCTGTAAAAAAAAAAAAAAATATATATATATATATATATATATATATATATATATATATATATATATATATATATATATATATATATATAAATATATATTTTTTTTTCTAAAAATATCAAAAAAATATTTAATTATTAGTTAAATGTGTCAGAATAATTAATCAATAATATAACATCTTTATTTAAAAGTATAATCAAGTTTTTGTAAGAATAATTTTTAATTAATAAAACATTAATAAATGTCCATTTAAACATCATAAATGGGGATTTCGCTGCCAAATGTGTTTCTGTAATCTGACACAGGTTATAAAGATTACTTGTTATTGTTCACAGAGAAACTATGATCTTATAAAGTATGACTGGAATGTCTTTCATTGCTTTTATCTAACATATTTATAAAACTTCAGCATATGTCATTTGTTGAAAGTAATTTCTACAGTGGATATAAGTTTGTCTATCATGTATAACGAGTCTCCAATACAGAAAGCAGAGTAACACTGGGATAGTTGATGACTTCAGTGAAAATACACTATATTGTCTGTAAGTCATAGAATCTTGTCATTGTAGTCAATAAAATGTTATTTAATAGGCGCATGGTTCAAATATGTGTAGTAGAACGCTCATTTGTGTGCATTTATTGTGATGTTTGACATGTTGGATTCACTGTTATCATAGTAGATTGGTGTTGTGTCTGTCATAAAGTAATCTGTTTGATTTTGAAACTTGCTCACTTGCTTACCTGAAAAGAAAATATTTGTGGCTGTTACCCCGAAGGTTTGATAGTTTTAGATGTGACTTAATAGAGTAAGCATAATTAAATATTAAGCATAAAAAAATATAAGAAATTCTATTTTTTTTTTCTTAAAATATCAAACAAATATTTAATTATTAGTTAAATGTGTCAGAATAATTAATCAATAATATAATATCTTTATTTAAAAGTATAATCAAGTTTTTTTAAGAATAATTTTTAATTAATAAAACATTATTAAATGTCTTGTTATTATTTGCTCATCCTAAAGCAGATTTCTCACACAAAATATAACAAATAGTGCAGGAGTATTACTTTATTCAGATTTGGGGTTATTTTGCAGCATCAGTTCTCATTCACAATACAGTGAAAAAGAACAAAAGGAAGGAAGACATGAAACAAGCAGCCGACATTGTGTCTGTGATGATGGGTTGGGTTTTTAAGCACATTAATAGTATCCAGATGTGTTAACAGGAGGACTGTTTCTGTCCACAGTTGTGGGAAATGATAAACACAACATTCCTGTCAAGTCTCTGCAAGTCAAACTGAAACTGAAACACACAAAAGACTGCAAAATAAACAGAAGAAGCACACTTCTTACATAAGACTTAAGCTATCTATCTATCTATCTATCTATCTATCTATCTATCTATCTATCTATCTGTCTGTCTGTCTGTCTGTCTGTCTGTCTGTCTGTCTGTCTGTCTGTCTGTCTGTCTGTCTGTCTGTCTGTCTGTCTGTCTGTCTGTCTGTCTGTCTATCTATCTATCTATCTATCTATCTATCTATCTATCTATCTATCTATCTATCTATCTATCTATCTATCTATCGGGGATTTATAATCGATTCGCCTAGGAAATCAGAGTTTATTAATATATACATGTTTATTCCCGTGCTGTTTTACCGGATTGTGAGCTGATGTAAAGTCAAGTTCTCAGTATCCACAGCAAGCAAAGCTGAGTTGAAATCCGGAGTTTTCCCGCGAAACTAGCTTCGCTCAAAACTCGTCGTCTCTACGTCACAGATCAGCAACCAATGAAAAGCGAGCCCTGTAAACAGCACGCGGTTAAAAAGCATTTATGGACGTCCCTCTCCTCAGTGCCACAGAAACAAAACACAGGCTACACCCGTCTGCCCATGTGCAGTATTCATCAGGTAGGCAATTTCTGAATCATCTAATCTCTAACAGCAGATCAAATGAATGGCTTTAAATCCCTCTTGTATAATTAAGCATGTTTATTTATTTAATAAGTCACAGATTAAAATATAAAGCACAGTAGCCTACTTATATTAAATAATGGAGTATTTCTGAACCTTAAAGTACTTGAATTAAATAGTTTTGGTAATTCTAAGGTTGCTCTGCTCTCAAATAAATTGTTTTAAGTCACTGTTGTATGATTAAGCATGTTTAATCATTTGATTTAAGTTCCAGTTTGAAATATATAACATATGAGCCTACATGTATTAAATAATGGAGTTTTTTAAAACCATAAAGTACTTGAGTTAAATAGTTTTGTTAATTCTATGGTTGCTCTATTCTCAATATATATTTTTTAAAGTCACTGTTGATTAGTTAAGCCTATTTAATCATTTAATTTAAGTCCCAGATTGAAATATATAACATAGGAGCCTACTTATATTAAATAATGGAGTATTAATGAACCATAAAGTACTTGAATTAATCTGTTTAGGTCGTTCTATGTTTGCTCTGGTAATATAAACAAATGTAGGGTATTTTGCTCTACAATACACCACAGTTTACTGTAGCAAAGCTAAAGTGTATTGCAGTGTTTAATGCAGTTAATCAATTAACTAGTATTCATTAACAGAAATGGGAATACTATATTATATTCAGTATAAGACATTTTACTATAGCATGGTTCAGAAATGCTAGTGTTTACTATGAATTACTATAGTATTTTTTCATGTGTGATTGGCATTTAAAGTCATGTGTAATCATCCTGTGTTTGCTGACCCAATTAAACATCATAAATGGGGACTTCGCTGCCAAATGTGTTTCTGTAATCTGACACAGGTTATAAAGATTACTTGTTATTGTTCACAGAGAAACTATGATCTTATAAAGTACGACTGGAATGTCTTTCATTGCTTTTATCTAACATATTTATAAAACTTCAGCATATGTCATATGCTGAAAGTAATTTCTATAGTGGATATAAGTTTGTCTATCATGTATAACGAGTCTCCAATACAGAAAGCAGAGTAACACTGGGATAGTTGATGACTTCAGTGAGCAGATAGCTGACATGTTCTGACATGTGGATGGAAATCCTGCTCAGTATCTTGTAATCATGGAAAATATTGTTCAAAAATACACTATATTGTCTGTAAGTCATAGAGTCTTGTCATTGTAGTCAATTAAATGTTGTTTAATAGGCGCATAGTGCAAATGTATGTAGTAGAACACTCATTTGTGTGCATTTAAAGCAGCTTTACATAGTTTAGTGCATTTTTCTGATGTTTGACATGTTGGATTCACTGTTATCATAGTAGATTGCTGTTGTGTCTGTCATAAAGTAATCTGTTTGATTTTGAACTTGCTCACTTGCTTACCTGGAAAAAAAATGTTTGTGGCTGTTACCCCGAAGACTTGATAGTTTTAGATGTGACTAAATAGAGTAACTGAGTTAAGTTGCTTTCCCAACCACTTAACCCATGGGTTGCCCAAAGGTTACTCACCACCTCTGTTTCAGTGCGAGTGGTGAGCATGTAGGTGTAGTGTTATTTAATTCGCTAGCATTTTCTTTTTTTCCGTGGCATGAACTTTAGCTGCTCGGGGAAGTCGACTTCACACTGGTTTCCTGCTTATTATACTTTGTTTCACAATCAAACACTCTCAGACTGATGGAGAGATACATAATCTCATTTCATGAGACACAAGTGCTGTACAGAAGGTACTTTTTGAATATTACTCAAAAATGTAGAATGGTTGATTCTGCTGCTGATAATCTTATGAGATTATCTGAAAAAAAAAATCGGGTTGCACACTTCATATTTTAAGTTTTTGTTTATACACTCACCGGCCACTTTATTAGGTACACCTGACTATTACTGGATTGTACCCCTTTTGCCTTCAGAACTGCTTTAATCCTTTGTGGCGTACATTTAACAGGGTACTGGAAATATTCCTCAGAGATTGTAGTCCATATTGACATGATGATAGCATCACACAGTTGCTGCAGATTTGTCTGCTGCACATCCATGATGCCAATCTCCCGTTCCACCACATCCCAAAGCTGCTCTATTGGATTGAGATCTGGTAACTGTGTGGAGGCAGGATGGATCCATGCTTTCATGTTGTTGATGCCAAATTCTGAATCTGACCCGACCATCTGAATGTGTCAGCAGAAATGGAGACTCATCAGAGCAGGCAACGTTTCTCCAATCTTCTATTGTCCAGTTTTGGTGAGTCTGTGTGAATTGTAGCCTCAGTTTCCTGTTCTTAGCTGACAGGAGCGGCACCCGGTGTGGTCTTCTGCTGCTGTAGCCCATCCGCCTCAAGGTTGGACGTGTTGTAGGGTTGTAACGGTATGAATTTTTTACGGTATGATAATCGTCTAAAACAATACCACGGTTTGACGGTTTCGCGGTATACGGTATGTTACAAATGTTACAAAATAATAGAACAGTGAAGCAAATTTGACTTTTTCCAAATAATATATTTTTAGTTACTATAAACAACACCACTTACAATAAACAAATAAAAAAATAAGAAAATAATAAATATTGTGTCAAAGTCCAAATAAAGTCCAAATAAACATGGTGCAAATCCTCAGTAAAAAAATAGATATAAATATTTACTATACTATAAATAGTTACATAACGAAACTAGATTCAATATGGAACATCCTTAGGTTTTATGTGCCAGCATGGATATGGTTGTCTGTGGATATGGATTTGGATATGGTTGTCTGCAATGCAGACAAACAGCTGCACCTTCATTTGCGTCTTTTGAAAACAGCAAGAGCAGCAGTTCGTCTTTGCTGTCACTGTTTTGTCATGTTTCTGTGCTGCTGTGCATGCAAAAGTACTTAGTATGAGAATTATTTCATGCAAAACTTTTTTTTTTTGCGTTTTATTTAGCCGCGCATAAATGTATGCCTATCTCTCATTCTGTGTTGTTCAAAAAGCTCAGTGTTGGTCCACAAACAAAAGCGAAACCTATGCTTATTGGTTGTGATATAGCGAGTTTGAAACAATCTGGTCATGGAGGAGGGACAATGCATCAATGTATCATGTCTGGTTTGTCCGGAGACACAGTGACGAGCGTTTCTTTGTCAAATCAGCGTTGTCAAATTTTGATGATGTAACCGCACTGATTCCGGAGCCTCTGAAAGTCCGCGAATGTTATGTCATACAGCACTGGAAAGCTGAGATTCTCTTCTTTATGCCAATCTTTGAATTATATGACTCGGATCAGCGGATCAAAAGTTATTAAACATTTAAAAGCAATACTTATTTTTGCTTATTTTGGCGGCTGTCTCGGTCTTTAAGGGTTAAAACCGTTGATATGCAATTGTTCATGGTATGATAATCGTGCACGTTCAAATCGTGGTAGACCGTCATACCGGTATATTGTTACAACCCTAACGTGTTGTGTGTTCAGAGATGCTCTTCTGCAGACCTCGGTTGTAACGAGTGCTTATTTGAGTTACTGTTACCTTACCAACCAGTCTGGCCATTCTCCTCTGACCTCTGGTCAAGGCATTTGCGCCCACAGAACTGCCGCTCACTGGATTTTCTCTTTGTTTGACCATTCTCTGTAAACCCTAGAGATGGTTGTGCGTGAAAATCCCAGTAGATCAACAGATTCTAAAATCCTCAGACCAGCCCGACTGGCACCAACAACCATGCCACATTCAAAGTCACTTAAATCCCCTTTCTTCTCCATTCTGATGCTCGCTTTGAACAGCAGCTTATTATCTTGACCATGTCTACATGCCTAAATGCATTTAGTTGCTGCCATGTGATTGGCTGATTAGAAATTTGCTTTAACGAGCAGTTGCACAGGTGTACCTAATAAAGTGGCCAGTAAGTGTTCTTTATTGTCCCATTTCTGGGTCACATTTTGTCTTATACAACCATGAAATGACACAATAACTTGCATATGTGAAAAGAAAAAAAATGTGCTATACATTTTTAATTAAGATATAAAATGACAGGCGGGAAGTATGACAGCACCTTAGTACCTTATATTTTATTCATGTCAATCTCAAGATAACTTCCCTATTCAATAATTTACCAGCAGTCACCACAAATGAGTCCTTATACCCATTCAATCAACACATCAAGGTCTTTGCACTTCCGAACCTACAACTTTTAAAGCAGTCTAGCAAGATTATTTTGGCCTTATTTACTATTCACTTACATTTTGAATTAATCATTAGGTACAACGCACTTATTAAATGCATACATGTTACATTGTGCTTACATTTTAATTAAAAATAATCTTATAATTACACTGTTGACCCATTCCTTACACTTTAAACCTACCCATACCACCAAACCTGCCTCTAAATGTACCCTTATCCCACCTTAGGAGCATTTTAGTGGTGTTTTATAATACAATATGAACACAGTAGATGTGTCCCAAATCGCATAGCTATCCACTATTCCATGCAATTTAGTAGTATTAATAGTGTAAGTAGTGTGTTCACATTGAAAACTGTAAAAATAATAAGTGCACTTTAAATATCTGGATGGTGCACTTATAAAATGAAGTGTGAGATGATGGTCATTTCACGCACTTAATGGTTGCAATTACCCTTTGCTAAGCCACGCCCAAAAACCGCCGTCCACTAATCGTGGCTTAGCAACTGTAGCTACGCACAGGTGCTCTGTCAAGCTTTCGAGCGAGTGCACATGGATTGTGCAAATCTGATACCCGGTCTCCTTAAAGTTTGGACGAGATGGTGGAATTTTTCTCCTTTTTCAAAACCTAAAACCCAGGAGCAGACATGCCAGCGTGGATCAGGCTGTGTGAGGGACGCTAAAGGAGCGGAGCTAAGTTGGTTTTGTTTTGATATTCCTGACACATTCAGTGACAGACAGACGGCAATAACTCAAACACATCTTACCCTAAACAGATCTAAACTGTGTTTCCTACAAAAACACAAAGATGGTGATGTGTCACAGCTGTCACATTGCTTTTTTTTCGCTCAATATTAAGAGTAATGCTCTGTTTAAGCCTTCGCCATAACGTTAGTAACGTTAACGTTAGTCATACTATTAGCGCATAGATCATAATGACACGAGTTATTGATCCGGAAAATACAAATCTGCAAATCTGTTGCTAACTTTACTGAACTTCATATTTCCATCTTTATCAAGCTACGAATATTTGACATTACAAATCAACAGAACTGAAGAAGCGGAGATATGATTAAAAACTGAGCCGCTGCGATCAAAATACTTTACCAGCAGCTGTTTTCAGTCATTTATAAAGAGCACACAAACACACTGACAGTAATAGGTAACTTACTGTACGTTGTTATGGATCAATTATGCTAATAGTCGACACAAATCCACCAGTTTCACCCTTTCTGGCTGTTCTTTCTATGAATGAACTATGTAAAAGCACTGTCATGCGCGTTTCCTCGTCGGTTAGTGACGCTATATTCCAAAAGTGCCCCCACAAACAAAAAACTGCTATTGCTTTACTTGTAAGGACATTCGGTTAGTCTCCACATTGTGAGGAATACAAGGTACACAGACATTCTCACACACACACACACACACACACACACACACACACACACACACACACACACAATGTTTGTGTGAATTATGAGGACATTCTATGGATTTTCATTGTTTTATGACTGACAAACTTTCCATTGTTTATTTTCTTTCCCCCAAACCTAACCCTAACCCAACCTTCAGAGGAAACTGTTTGCAATTTTACTTTCACATTGTATTTCACTGCATGATTAAATCTTATCTAAGGCAATCCTATGTTTTTGAAAAATAGAAACATGGGTAATGTCCTCATAAGTCACCTTCTCCTTGTAAAACATCATACCCATTAAACCCGTGCTATTATACAAGTTTGTGTCCTGATATGTCACAAAAACAAGCATACACACACACAAATAAACACAAAATTTGACTAAAATAAATGAGGAAAGAGTATTTTATCTATTAAATATTGCATTAGGGGCCAACATGGTGGCTCTGAGGTTAGCACTGTCACCTCACAACAAGAAGGTCACTGGTTCAAGTCACGGATGGGCCAGTTGGCATTTGTGTGTGGAGTTTGCATGTTCTCCCTGTGTTGGTGTGGGTTTCCTCTGCTCTGATTCCCCCCACAGTCCAAACACATACCCCGCTATAGGTGAATGGGATTAAGTAAGTTGTATGAGTGTGTGTGATTGTGTATGAATGGGTGTTTCCCAGTACTGGGTTACAGCTGTAAGGCCATCCGCTGTGTAAACATATGCAGGAATAGTAGGCGGATCATTCAGCTGTGGCGACCCCGGATAAATAAGGGAGTAAACAAAGAAAAATGAATGAATGAATACATTTTGCATAAATATTTCGGTTGCAATGATAATCATATTATATGATGATTATTTTATGAATTTGATGTTTAATAGCGCTATACTCTTATTATATGATGATTTTTTAATGAGTTTGATGTTTAATAGGGCTGTACTCTTATTATATGATGATTATTTTATGAATTTGATGTTTATTAGGGCTATACTCTTATTATATGATGATTATTTTATGAATTTGATGTTTAATAGGGCTATACTCTTATTATATGATGATTATTTTATGAATTTGATGTTTAATAGGGCTTTACTCTTATTATATGATGATTATTTTATGAATTTGATGTTTAATAGGGCTGTACTCTTATTATATGATGATTATTTTATGAATTTGATGTTTATTAGGGCTATACTCTTATTATATGATGATTATTTTATGAATTTGATGTTTAATAGGGCTATACTCTTATTATATGATGATTATTTTATGATTTTGATGTTTAATAGGGCTATACTCTTATTATATGATGATTATTTTATGAATTTGATGTTTAATAGGGCTATACTCTTATTATATGATGATTATTTTATGATTTTGATGTTTAATAGGGCTATACTCTTATTTTATGATGAATATTTTATGAATTTGATGTTTAATAGGGCTATACTCTTATTATATGATGATTATTTTATGAATTTGATGTTTAATAGGGCTGTACTCTTATTATATGATGATTATTTTATGAATTTGATGTTTAATAAAGGGCATCCGCTGTGTAAAACATATGCAGGAATAATAGGCGGATCATTCCGCTGTTGCGACCCCGGATAAATAAGGGAGTAAACAAAGGAAAATGAATGAATGAATAAATTTTGCAGGAATATTTTGGTTGCAATGATGTTCACGCTGCAGTGATGTCGAATGCTTGGTTGATGACTGCATAGTTGTTTTCCGAAAGCCACAGAGCTAAAAAAAAAAAAACAAGTGGGAAATAATGAGTAAGAATGACCTTTCCTATAGAAGAAGGTGGATTTATTTCAGGCTGCATGATGAGAAAAGGATCTGTGGGGCTCTTCAGGTTTTTGTCCCGTTGATGATTCAGTTAAAGAGCTGAATCATCTCTAGACTCACACAGGTCTGAGTCAGATCATAATGCAATTCAGGATCAGCAAAAAAACTGCTTTGTAACCGTTATCAATGCAAATTGTGTTAGTTGGGGTAAATCAAGAAGTGATCCAGTGCTTATTCATTGTGGTTCATGACATCAGACGATCAGCAGACCTGCGTGCTGAAAAACTCATAGCCGCTCAGCTTAGCGGCAGACACGGAGGATTTGTGTGTGTTTATAGACTGGTGTGCTGTGTTTGCATGCAGGGGTCAATGAAGAGGACGCTGGTCATCATATTTCAGGCTCTGCTGTGGCCTGCCGTCTTATCAGGTATATTATTTTTTCACATATCGGCTTGCTTTCAGTTTTAGATGGTCAAAAATGACTCTAGAAACTGCATGTAGGATTTAAAACTGTCTAACAGAGCTAAATAAGGCTTGTTATATGAGAAAGAATAACTTAAGAGTTTTAGAGGAGATCAGATTTGACAGGATCATCAGAAATCTTAAATGTTTTGTGTTAAATTTTCTCTCTTCATTCTTTTAATGGCTGTAGACTCCTATTATATGATGATTTTTAATTAAATTTGACGTTTGTTAGTGCTATTATATGATGATTTTTAATTAAATTTGATGTTTAATAGGGCTATACTCTTATTATATGATGATTATTTTATGAATTTGATGTTTAATAGGGCTATACTCTTATTATATGATGATTATTTTATGAATTTGATGTGTATTAGGGCTATACTCTCATTATATAATGATTTTTTTTATGAATTTGATGTTTATTAGGGCTATACTCTTATTATATGATGATTTTATTATAAATTTGATGTTTATTAGTGCTATACTTTTATTATATGATAATTATTTTATGAATTTGATGTGTATTAGTGCTATACTCTAATTATATGTTGATTTGTTTATGAATTTGATGTTTAATAGGGCTGTACTCTTATTATATGATGATTTTTTTAATGATTTTGATGTTTAATAGGGCTATACACGTATTATATGATGATTATTTTATGAATTTGATGTTTATTAGGGCTATACTCTTATTATATGATGATTTTATTATGAATTTTGCTATACTCTAATTATATGATGATTAGTTAATGAATTTGATGTTTAATAGGGCTATACTCTTATTATATGATGATTTTATTATGAATTTGATGTTTATTAGGGCTATACTTTTATTATATGATAATTATTTTATGAATTTGATGTGTATTAGTGCTATACTCTAATTATATGATGATTTTTTAATGAATTTGATGTTTAACAGGGCTATACTCTTATTATATGATGATTATTTAAATGAATTTGATGTTTAATAGGGCTATACTCTTATTATATGATGATTATTTTGTGAATTTGATGTTTATTAGTGCTATACTCTTATTTTATGATGATTATTTTATGAATTTGACATATGAAACACACCTGAAAAGTCCAGTGACTCTCAATACTTTAGAGAAGATCATCATCTGATCTGAAACATTAAAAATTCCTTTATTTCACTTCCAGTTCTTGACTATGTGATGTAATTCATGGAGTGATCAATAGAAAGTGTACTGTGGTAATCGTCTAAAATCATATATGAGCATATATAAATATATACATTTTTGAAATTCTAATGATTGAAAAATATGTACCGTAAATTGAGATTTTTGTAATATTTTGAAGTGTAACGTTGCATATATGTATATAATTTTACAGTAGTTTTTTCAATCCAAATGTGAACTTCTATATCATATTTCACATTTACACATAAATCAGGGTTGTTTTAACCCAGATTTGGGTAAAATATGGGCCAAAGAGAATTTGTAATCCCAATTTGCATCAATTTTAAAATGTTATTTTATCATTTATTTGGTTCTATTTCAGTATTTTTGTTAATAGTAATTATTCCGGTTACCAGCAATTTGTTTGAAAAAAATTGTAATTATTATTTTAGTAATTATTTATGTTTTCAAACAATTAATCATGGTCATATGCATCCAAAATAAAGATGTGTATTTTGATTATTACGATTGTTCCTTTTGTAGACTATCGAAAAAAAAAACAGCTTAAAGGGGATAATAATATTGACCTTAAAATGGTGTTTAAAAATTTTTAACTGCTTTTATTCTAGCCAAAATAAAGCAAATAACACTTTCTCCAGAAGAAAAAACATTATCAGACATACTGTGAAAATTTCCTTGCTCTGTTAAACATCATTTGAGAAATATTTAAAAAAGAAAAACTAAAAACATTCAAAGGGGGACTAATAATTCTGATTCGAAAAAAAAAAAAATATATATATATATATATATATATATATATATATATATAAAAGAGTATATTTATTATTTATTATGTAAACATAAATGAAAATTACACGTACATAAATGAAAATTATTTTATATTTTTATTGATTTAATAATTTGTATTATAAGGTATATAGGTATTTTACATATAAATATATTTGTTTACTCAAAACAATGCATGCATGTATTTATATATGCATAGTAAATATACACAACACACATACAGTATATACTCTATTATGAAAAGAGCTTTTCAAACTTTTATTTATTCATTTTTTAGCTTGTATTTTGAAAGTTGTTAACTATTTGACAGCACTAGTAATTATTTGCGAAATTTACAAGCAATCATCAACTTATATTTCAGTGTATTTTTGTAAAACCACCTGAGTTTATTATAGGATAATTATTAATATTACAGAAGATTAGAAATATTAGTCTTATAAATTTTACTATACACTGTATAAAAAAAAGTGATTTATGTTTACATTTTTTTTTATTTTCCCCGTTTATTCATGCATATGAATTGCATCATGAGACCTTAATATTTTCTCTTTTAACCCTGAAAAGATGGAAAAGGTGACTTTTTTTTTATTAATATAATTAGTATTAATAGTTTGCAGTGCTATTTTATCTGGGTTGGTGTTCTATATTACGCTACAAAAGCCTTGTAATAAAGTACAGACTCATTTCTCTATATATTAATTTGTGTACATTATATTAACTACTACAGTGTCATTAAAAGTCACTTTGTTAAATTGTAGAGTTGAATTTTCAACATCAAAAGTCGACAGAGCAGAGATCAACATCCCATAAAGCAATTCACAACCACAGATAAACAGAAAACACACAAACATACAGAAACTGTTCATTAGCAGATATATTTTACAGTGTACTCTCATTGTGCAAGGTAGATAATGGGTTTGCAGTTTCTAATCATCACTTGTCTCTCTTGTCTTCAGCCTCGTTTACAGTCAACGTACCGAGAAGCACTTATGAAGCAGAGCTAAATGGAGACGTCAGACTGGAGTGTGTGTTTTCTGCCCTTAAAAGATCTTCAGACATTACTGTCATCTGGAGCCGCGTGCATCCCAAGCCGGACGTCAACATTTACTGGCTGGACAAAGGCAAAGAAATCCACAATCACACCAGCTCTGCGTTCCACAAGCGCGCGCAGCTCATTTCCCACCTGCTGAGAGAGAATCGAGCTGTGTTACACTTGAAGAAGCTCCGGATAAAAGATTCAGGCACGTATCAGTGCATCGTGGAGGGAGATGAAGTCGACTACAAACAGATCACACTCAATGTTACAGGTGACTAACTAAATACATAATGCTATTTACAATACAGGGCTGTTGAATGCTGGATTCTGATTGGCTGTCAGACTTGTTACAGGGGGGGGGTTGCACAAGGGCGAATAATTCAGACTTCAACTGTATATTGGATGTTTATGTGTTCCAGCTCCGTTTTCTCCCGTAAGGAAAAGCCTCCGGAAGGCAGGAGAGGACGAGGTGGAGCTTTCCTGTGAGTCTCAGGGATTCCCATCCGCTCAGGTTTACTGGAGCGACGGTCAAAAGTTAAACCTCACGCTGTTCTCCAACACCTCAGTGAGCTCCACCGATGAAGATCTGATCCTCATCGTCAGCAAACTGAAGGTTGAACGAGAGCTTGTGAACAACTACACCTGCACTTTCATCGTGAAGGGGGAAATACAGCAGACGGCAACATTCAGCATCCCAGGTGAGTCTGACTGGTTTATTGTCGATAATCAGCATAACACCATCACTTTTATCCCAGAGTTGAAAGTGCTTGAATTTATTTTCTACAATATAAAATCTATACAGTTCCTTCCCGTCCACTTGAGTAGTATTTCACCATTAATTCACAAATCCTATAGAGGGCGCTTTCTACGATTTTGCGTACCTAAAATAATTTAAAATGTTATGTAAAGTGCATTTTGTTGCGAGTTTCAGATGACAAATCCACTAGAGGGCGCTTTATACATATTTGCGTATCTAAAATACTTTATTATGTTACTTAAGGTATGTTTTGTTGTGCGTTTCAGATGACAACTCTACTAGAGGGCGCTTTCTACATTTTTGCGACCTAAAATACTTTAATATTGCGTATTGTTACGTAAGGTAAAAGTTTGTGCATTTCAGATGTCAAATTCACTAGAGGTTGTGTTCTACGTTTTTGCATATCTGAAATGCTTTAATGTTACGTAAGGTACATTTTTGTTGTGTGTTTCAGATGACAAATCCACTAGAGGGTGCATTATACATATTTACGTACCTGAATTACTTTTAATACGTTGTGTAAGTTACATTTTTTTGTTTATTTCAGATGACAAATCCACTAGAGGGCGCTTTTTACATTTTTGCGTACCTGAAATACTTTAATACATTATTTAAGATAGATTTTATTGTGCATTTCAAATTATAAATCCACTAGAGGGGCGCTTTCTATGTTTTTGCATACCTGGACTACTTTATTATGTTACTTAAAGTACATTTTCTTGTGCATTTCAGATTATATATTCACTAGAGTGTGCATTATACATTTTTGCGTACCTAAAATACTTTAATACGTTATGTAAGATACGTTTTGTTGTGCATTTCAGTTAATAAATCCACTAGATATGTTTTGTTGTTTGTTTCAGATGAAAAAATCCACTAGAGGGCGCGTTATTCATATTTGCGTATCTGAATTGCTTTAATACGTTATTCAAGTTACATTTTTTGCTTGTTTCAGATGAAAAATCCACTAGAGTGCACTTTTTATATTTTGCGTACCTGAAATACTTTATTACATTTTGTAAGATACGTTTTGTTGTGCTTTTCAAATTATAAATCCACTAGAGGGCGCTTTGTACGTTTTTGCGTACCTGAAGTAATTTAATACGTTACATAAGGTACTTTTTGTGCGTTTCAGATGACAAATCTACTAGAAGGGGATTTCTACGTTTTTGTGTACCTGAAATCACCGACACCAGCAAACCACTGACCTAAACCCAACCAATAGTGTTTTCAAAAGCAAAAATAACTAAAAAGTGTGCTGCGACCACATACTTTTACCTTGATTTTACATTGCTTTAATCTCTCTTGAGTGACCATGCTTCATCGGACTTAAACCCTAGCACTTTGCAGCACAAGCACAACAACGTACAAACTGAGCTACGATCAAACTAACCATGCCAGAAAAGTCGACCATATGGAGATAGTTACAAATAATATACAATAAGTTGTTTTGTGGTATTAATTTGGTGTTGTGCAAAGAACTCCATGGAAAATGTATTTTTTTGTTGATTAATATGTGCCTGTAAATATCCTTAGTATGAAGAGGAACAGAAGTTGTTGGTGTCATACTGCCCCCTAGTGCTCATTTTATCTAAAACCTGCAGTCAAATGTAATTTAAAGTACATTTTTGTGATGACAAAAATATAGGCTAAAGCATGTATTTGCAATGAGCCTTTGTTGTTTAAACTCAATATTAAACATGTTGATATTATGAGCACTCAGAACTGCTAATATTATGCAGTCAAATTACAAAACTCAAGTACTTGTAATAAGAGTAAGCTATTCTTTAAAATACTTGTAACCAAACTACAGTTACTTTTATGGATTACACAATTACATATCATTTACACAATGGGAGTAAGTTGTTCACAATTCAAAGATTCTCCTCATTTTTCTCTCCTCATTTTTGACATGTGTGTATTATATTTTTATGATAAACCTTCCCCTTATAGAATCTTTGTGATTGTTAATATTATTAGATTTTTGTCATTGATTCTGTCATCTGAGTTTCTAGTGTCTTTTAGATTAAAGATGTGGTGTTGCATTGATATTGCCTTTGAATGTTATGATTTTTAATGTTGGGTTTTGTGATGTTGCTGTTTTATATGCTTAATTTTAAGTAATTAATTTAGTCTTAATGTCTTTTAAAGTCTTTTAATGTTACTCTCATCAAACACAAAAATGTATATTAGTGTAAATATTGTGAAGTATTAAACACTTAAACACTTTAAAAAGAAGCTGTTAAGGCTCTTGTTGCTAATAAACAATGAATGTATTTATTATTTCTATCAGTCAAAATAGTACAAGATTATCCTGCCTCATTATATGTGACATCAAATCAGCTTAAGCACAAAAGTAATCTAAATGTAATCCAAAAGTAGTCAGATTACATTTGCATACATGTGTGATCTGACAGATTACATTACACTACAGATTGTGTCATTTCTACAGTTTAATCTAAAAATAATTAAATATTTACATTTTAACAAGCATCCTAGTGAAAAGTTAATATATTGAGCAGCATCACAGATAGCAAGTTTCTACGTTCGTTTTTGTGTGTAGGAACAAGATTCAGCCTACAGATCTGAAAGTTGCTCTTCTTTTCCGTTGTTTATGTCTGGTGTGATGTAGATTTTCCTTTAGTCTTTCCGCAGACGAGGCGGTGTTTAATACGAAACCCATTTGATATGAAAGAAAACTGATATATTTCCGATAAATAGGGAGGAGTACCTTTGTATTTTCCAGCAGACTTGCAGTATTGTGCCATTAGTTATTCAGAAAAACACCAATAATATGATATTGTAACCTAATGCAAGAGTTTTTCTTTCAGTGTGTGAAAGGGAGTGTTTTATCTTATGTAATAACAGTATTTATGTTTTTACACAACTTATGTATTGCATTTGGTGCTTGATATTATTTGGAACAATATATATATACAGTTAAAGTCAGAATTATTAGACCCCCTGTTTATTTTTCCCCAATTTGTGTTTAACAGAGAGCAGATTTTTTCAATACATTTCTAATCATAATAGTTTTAATAACTCATCTCTAATTACTGATTTATTTTATCTTTGCCATGATGACAGTAAATAATATTAGACTAGATATTCTTCAAGACACTTCTATACAGCTTAAAGTGACATTTAAAGGTTTAACTAGGTTAATTAGGTTAACTGGGCAGGTTAGGGTAATAGTGTAGTTTAAAGCAGCATTATTATGAAGTAAAACAATGGACATAAATTGAATAAAAATTATAATACTTACTTAATTATTAAAAAAATAAAGAAAAGAAATAAAAAACGGGTACAAAACAAACATTAGTAAAACGTGAATTAAAATAACAATGAAAATAAAATGTTTCATTAAATGAATTATTAAAATGACTAAAATAATAGCTAAAATAAAAATTAAAAGATAAAACTGTCAAAATTATTGATTAATAAAAAATGTAATCAAAAGCAAGCATTCAATACTTATGAAAATATGAATAAAATATTATTAAATGGCTTTTTTAATATATGTATATATGCAAGAGTATTTAAAATATTTCCTACATTATGTTTAACAGAGGAAGGAAATTTTCACAGTATGTCTGATAATTTTTTTTCTTCTTGAGAAAGTCTTATTTGTTTTATTTCAGCTAGAATAAAAGCAGTTCTTAATTTTTTAAAAGCAATTTAAAGGACAATATTATTAACCTCTTTAAGCTATATTTTTTTCGATAGTCTACACAGAACAAACCAACGTTATGCAAAAACTTGCCTAGTTAACCTAGTTAAGTCTTTAAACGTTACTTTAAGCTGTATAGAAGTGTCTTGAAGAATATCTAGTCAAATATTATTTACTGTCATCATGACAAAGATAAAATAAATCCGTTATTAGAGATGAGTTATTAAAACTATTATGATTAGAAATGTTAAATCTGCTCTTTATTAAACAGATATTGGGAAAACAAATAAACGGGGGGGGGCTAATAATTCAGGGGGTTTAATAATTCTGTTTGCAACTGTATAGATTGATTTTTTTTTTTAGCATTTTTGTCCCACAGAAAAATATACCGCATGCTTATTTTATTCACGTTTTAACCTTAATATTTTCTCTTTTTGCAGAAGAAATCCCTCTTCACGGTTCTGCTCTGTTTGTGTGGATTGGAGCCGTGATCGTTGTGCTTTTGGCCGTCATCTTCATCTCCATTATTCTGCATAGGAGAAAATACGGTACTTCCACATGCCACATTTACACTTATTATTTTGGGAGATGCTTTCATCCAAATTTAATTACAAATTAGAACAGAAGCAAGCTATGATTATTAAATGCATAATGATGAATCATAGTTTATCTAACATGCAATATGTAGCAAGCAATGTACAACAATTGATTATTTATTCAATTTATACATTTACGTTTAGTCATTTAGCAGACGCTTTTATACAAAGCGACTTACAAATGAGGACAAGGAAGCAATTTACACAACTATAAGAGCAACAATGAATAAGTGCTGTAGGCAAGTATCAGGTGTGTAAAGAAAGTGTGGGAAGCAAAACATTAGTAATAATTTTTTATTTATTTATTTTTTTGTAGTAGTTAATGGTGGAGTCAGAGGGAATTGCAGATTAGGAAGTGAAGTGGAGACTAAATAGTTGAGTTTTTAGTCGTTTCTTGAAGACAGCGAGTGACTCTGCCATTCTGATGCAGTTAGGGAGTTCATTCCACCAACTGGGCAGATTGAATACGAGAGTTCGGGAAAGCGATTTCTTCCCTCTTTGGGATGGAACAACGAGGAGACGTTCATTCACAGAACACAAGTTTCTGGAGGGCACATACATCTGCAGAAGTGAGAGCAGATAAGAAGGAGCAAAGCCAGAAGTCGCTTTGTAAGCAAACATCAGAGCTTTGAATTTGATGCGAGCAGCAACTGGCAGCCAGTGCAAACGGATGAGCAGCGGAGTGACATGTGCTCTTTTAGGTTCATTAATGACCACTCGTGCTGCTGCAGTCTGAAGCAGCTGAAGAGGTTTGATAGAGTTAGCTGGAAGCCCGGCTAGTAGAGAGTTGCAATAGTCCAGTCTGGAGAGAACAAGAGCTTGAACAAGGAGTTGAGCTGCATGTTCAGATAGGAAGGGTCGGATCTTTCTGATGTTATAGAGTGCGAAGCTGCAAGATCGAGCAGTTCTAGAAATGTGGTCAGAGAAGTTTAGTTGGTCATCAATCGTTACTCCAAGGCTTTTCACCATTTTGGATGCAGTAATGGTTGCCCCGTCCATCTGGATTGAAAAGTTATGATGTAGAGTCGGGTTGGCAGAAACTACAAGCATTTCTGTTTTTGCGAGGTTAAGCTGAAGATGATGATCTTTCATCCAGTGTGAAATATCCAACAGGCAGGCTGAGATGCGAGCCGGAACCGAGGGATCATCAGGATGAAAAGAGAGGTATAGCTGGGTATCATCAGCATAGCAGTGGTAGGAGAATCCATGTTTCTGGATGACTGATCCTAAAGATGATGTGTAGATGGAGAAGAGAAGTGGCCCCAGAACAGAGCCCTGTGGTACCCCAGTGTTTAGATGCTGTAGGTTGGACACCTCTCCCCTCTAAGACACCCTGAATGACCTGTTAGAGAGGTAAGATCTTAACCACTGAATAACAGTGCCCGCAACGCCCAGTGACTCAAGCGTAGATAGCAGGATCTGGTGGTTGACAGTGTCAGAAGCAGCTGACAAATCCAGCAAGATGAGGACTGATGATTTACAGTATGCTCACTTATATCTCTTATATAGCTATTTTTTTGACAATCATCATTTCTGAATAGTGAAAAAAAATTAAAAGAAATTACTTCATCTTGTTGCATCTAAATTAATTAACATTTCAACTTAATTGATCACAAAAAAGGTGCATAATGTTGAAATAATTTGATTTGTAATGTTGATCCATGGTGATCCATTTTGGGACAACTCACCCAAAAATGTACATTTTCTCACAAATTAACATCTCACACTCAAGTGTTTTTAAACTTATGGATTTCTTTCTTCTATTGAACACAAAGGAAGATATTTTGAAGAATGTTGAAAAAAAAAACATCCATTAACATCCATAGTAGGAACAAAAAAAGGTCCCACTTTATATTAAGTGGCCCTAACTAATATGTACTTAAACAGGAATTAATAGTTTGTTACAATGTACTTATTGTGTAAATACATGTATTTATTGTGTACTTATGCTTGATTAAATACATGTATGTAATTACATCTGTAATTAACTTCTGTAATTACATTAGTAAATACACTGTTGACCATCCCTTACACCTTAACCCACACTTAAACCTACCCACACCACCAAACCTGTCCATAACCCAACCTATATCCCAACTCAAGAGCACCACAAGTGTTCTCAAATACATTATAAACACAGTAAGTATATTGTATTTATTGTTTTGATGCAAGTACATAGTAGTTAAAGACACTTAATATAAAGTGGAACCCAAAAAAAACTATGAAAGTAAATGGCAGTTTTTCCCCCAGCATTCTTCAAAATATCTTTCTTTGTGTTTGAAGGCTGAATAAATGATAACATATTAAATATTTTTGTCTGAACAATCCCTTTAATATGTAATATAATTCAGTGAATTTTTTACTTTCTGTCTCGGTTCATTAAAGCAGGTCAGTTTTGTACACAGTGGTGTCTTGATCTGATATTTTAAGTGTAGCCGGTTTCGCTTCGCTTGATTGATTTGTTGTTTGCTTTAGAGAGTAAACACGTGAGTCAACATCATATGATATTAAACAGCTTGAAAAGAAGGAAAGCCCGCTATTCAGTATCTGCAGGAAACAGAAAAGATAATAGAAACTTTTGTTCTGTCAGCTGACACAGGTGAATAACACATCAGTCATTCACACACTATACAACATTACATAATAATAGCAAAGTTTTTATGTTAATCATAAGTTATTAAACTATGTTAATAATGTTTCAACTTAATTTTGAAGTTGTTTTAAGTCAGTTTAATGTAATTTTAGTTTAAAGGACCATATGATTCAACTTAAAAAATTAAGGCAACTACAGTACATTATGTATTGTTCACTGTAAAAGTTGAATCTTAGTTTAATCAAGTTAACTTTTCTAGTCATCTCAACTTGCAATCAATCAAACTGACTAAAAAATATTAGGTTTTAACTATTTTTTGTAAGTTTAACTTGATTAACTTAAAAAATAGTAGGTTAAAGCAACATAAACATATTTGTAGTCTTGACTTTTGTCATTAAAGTGCATGTGTTTTGGTTAGTGCTTTTATTTAATCTGTGAATATGCTTACAAAGAAAATAAAAAAGATGGATATCACGATGCTTCCACATTTGACTGGTATTTAGATTTTTTTAATTGTGCTTTTATATTGTCTCTGTGGCGTTTCTGAAACTGGAACATGTGGAAGCAGGAATGACCCTGCAAATTACCCTTAAATACCCTTAATTAACCTCAACTAATACTGACCGATCACAAAAATAATAATACACCTCATGAAGTCATTTTCCTTATGAAAGAATTGCTCTTTCAAAGTAATTGTAGGGACAAACTCAACTCGGCATTTCATAAACACTCTATAGTAATGGGGTTGTTCAACTAAAAATTAAAATATACTGTTAATTTAATCACGCATAGGTTATTCGATATGTCGGTGACTTTATTTCTTCAGTAGAACAATAAAGAAGATTCTGAGCTGAATTCATGCTCCTTGGTCATTCATTTAATGGCAGTGGGTGGTGACTGGTTTTTTAGATTAAAAATGAACACATACAAATGAGTCCAAATCAATAGCCATAGCTTCCGATGACACACTGAGTTTTTTTGAAGCCAAACGATCGGTCAGTGTCATGCTGTGTTCACACCAGATGCGGAACGCGCGGATAAATTGCGCTATTCGCGCGTAAATAGCCACGTGAACATTTGAGTTTACTCGCTTCATTCGCGTGTCAAATTCCCTTCAGAACAGACGCAGATTCGCGTGATGGGCAGGGCTTCTGTCTGCCCGGTGACTGTAGCTTCATAGCTAAATGGCTAACATGGATTTTATGAAGAAAATAACAGTGTTTATGTGCTTTATGAAGACGGAAAAACAGCGTCGATACGTTTAGGGTCGTGTCTGAGTCCACTACATGCTTTCAGAGGTGCATCCAGCTCTGTGATAAACTCCTCCAGAAACTGAACCTGGATGACGGAGGCTTTCATCGGTGCTTCTGACTGAGCCAAGCCCAGTTTGATGTACTGTTGTAAGTGAAGTCTGGAGGATTTCCCTCGGAACACCGACAACAAGTTGTACGTCACAATCACGCCCCCACAAGAGCAAGCTTCTGATTGGTTAACGCGGCGCGAATGTACGCTGAAGTTCAGATTTTCGAATTCGAGAGATTCGCGCGAAACACTCGTTAAGCGCGTCAAACGTGCAAAATGCTCAATTCGCCCCGCGCCATTCGCGCAATTTGCGTCATTCGCGGCGCGACATTCGCGCGTATCGCGCCGCAGGATGTCTATTCGCGCGTTTGCATTGACTTAACATGTAAATCACTCGCGCTTGACGCGCTTGCCACGTCTGGTTTGAACGCAGCATAAGAAATTGAACATTATTTACAACATTATTAGCTTTAATCCTGGCCAAACAGTTCTTGTGCTTTTGTTATCAAAGTGACAGGACTACAGTTTGACTACATTCACGCATTTGTTTGACCAAGCTGTCGATTAAAGCTAATAATATTGTTGGGTGCATGCGTGTCAGGCCCGGATTAAGTATTCAGAGGCCCCTGGGCACAATGTCTTGTAGGCCCCCTACCTAGGCTCACCTCTATAGTTAAATTAAAAAAATAAGATTAATATAATATTTTTTAAATACAATTAATCTGTAATGTATTGCCCACATTAAAATAAATAATATACAGTACATATATTTGTAGTCTACAAAAATTTTACTTATTTTTAAAGCATTTAAAGCACACTTAAAAAAAAACTAATACAACTAGTGAACATTGATGGATTTTAATATACTTGTTCAAGTTCACTGAAGCAGTACTAAAAATTTATATATATATATATATATATATATATATATATATATATATATATTTATTTATTTATTTTTATTTTTTTTTTTAGGGGTTTTTCACCTTTATTTTTGAAAGGACAGTAGAGAATAGACAGGAAAGCATGGGGAGCAGAGAGAGGGGTAGGATCGGCATAGGACCGCGAGGCGGAATCGAACCCGGGTCGCCACGAGCACCGGAGCGCATGTGTCGACGCACTAACCACTACACCACTGGCACCGACTAAAAATTTATATTTAAGGGTATTTTTAATGTATAACTTCTACACACTTACAATGCACATGATTTGGATTTAATACCTTTCTAATCCAGTTCTAGGAAACTGAGGGTGCTTTCACACCTGTGAATCGATTCAATTGTTCCGAAACAGAGATTACAATTGTTACATTGTTGCTCTTTGCTCTTGGAGCGGTTCGCTTTCACACTGCAAAGTTTCTAATTGAACCAAAAGAGCTAAAACAAGTCACGTACGAGTAAACTCTCCTCACATTGGTCAGAGTGTCAGGGTTTATTTTGCAGTGTCCCGCTCAGCTGTCAGGAGAGGTGGTGGTTTGGTGGTGATTGACAGGGTGCGCGCGTGACGTGTCTGAGGAGAGATGCTGTGGGGAGGGGTGAGAAGGGTGCGCGACGATGCCTGTTTGAGGACCGGGAGGAAGACGCGAGATTACCGGGAGATCATCACTCGTTTGCGGGCATCCGGAGACTCGCGAAACTTCCCGCCATGCTCATAATTCTCTCTTCATATAGCCGTATGCCTATTACATATCCATAAAACACTGTGATATAACCGCGCTCGGATCGGATCACTTTCTCACTGCAATCGAACCGCTCCAGGGTTCGTTTCAATCGAGCCGAGACCACTTCATTTAAGCGATCTCAGAGCGATTACTTTGGCGCGGAACAGAGCGCGATTGCCCTGTTCACATATGCCAAACAAACCGCGCTAACTGGGCAAACGAGATACGTCCTCCATAATACACACGCTTATTAATGATTCCTGCTTGTCTTCCTCGTGATGAAGAGTAGGCAAAATCTGATATGTAATGGTAACAAAAAGAAGATTGTGTTTATTAGACGCTGGATTCAAACCGGGTTCATGATCGATCGTGTCAAAACATGTTGCCATGCGCTTTATGAGCTACGCCACTCACGCTGCTGTCTGTTGCGCTCTTTAGTTGTGCTGTCTCTGTCAATCTAACGGTGATGGGCGGGAATCATTTAACTAGCTTATTCCAACGAGGTGCGCTATTTACTCTTAGCCTAAATAGACACTCCAAAATCACTATTTTTCCGCCCTCGCAGGGGCTCCAAGTGCGCATGGGCCCATAATGCCCGTTGGTTAATCCGGCCCTTTACTTACAGCCGTGTGTGTGGATCTTGTTGGAAAATATGGTGAAAAGTCCTACATCACGGTACTAGTTTGAGCGCGGTGTTTACTTCAATAATGCCACTAATATCTGCATACTCCACATGTCTTAATAACATTTCTGTTTAGTTCAGTTATGTCTTTAGTGAGATTAAGGTCATCAAAAATGGCTGTTTCAAGCTTATGTAGGCCGACAGCTCAACATTGACGTTTAACTGAATAAACAGTGAGTAAACACAAGCACATCTTACTGAACATCATTTATTTTCATCACCAATTATCACAGTAGATCAGTTCCTCAAGCAGTTTGTGATGCATTTTGGAAACAGGAGATAAGCCCCTGGTCTGATGCGCCACCTGGCTTGAGAAACCCGTTCTCAAAGACTTATTATTTGGGTCGCACACATATTCTGAATGCCTTCGGCAGAATTCAACCGAGCCATTTTAATCTAGATAAATCTAGATTTATTCTGAGATTACAGTGAGATTAATCTAGATAAAAAGAATCTATGCCCACCTATAGTTCATATCAATGAGCTTATTCCTGATTATTAATAGCAAACTGCACAGTTTGTTCATCTATTGTAAGTCACTGATTCTAGTTAATACGTCTTGTATATTATACTCATGGTACATCCATCTGTAAATATTACCCTTAATTTTTTATAATTGCACTTTGTAATTTATATCTATATCCTGCTCTTGCTGCTATTGCACTACTTGTTAGACCTAAACTGGATTTTGTTACCTTGTACTTATACAATGGCAATTAGGTTGAATCTAATCTGATCTAATGTGACAATGTAGAGTAGATCTGTTTTCAAAGCATTCCTCTATACACTATTTATAAAGTGTTTGATTCTTTCCTAAAATAGGTCGTGATTGATTAGTTTTGTGAGTCAGCAGCATGTGATTTAAAGATATTGTAAGTGTATTATCATCAGTGTATGAGGAAAAGAATAACAAGGTTATATCACAGGTAAATCCCACATTAGTCACTCACGTGAGGAGGAAACTTGAAATCAAATTAAAAGCATTCAGTTTTATTGTTTTGACGTTGTGACAGTATATATAATTAATGATATTGCAATGTGGGCCCGTTTTTCAGCAATAATCATGACGGTTGCATTTTTTTTATGTTGTTTATTTTGTGTGTGTTTCTGTCAACAGCTGATTGTTATAAAATCATTACTATGCAAAAAAATGCTGTTTCATTTCCTCTTTTAATGCGCAGTCATGAGTGAGTTCCAATAATCTATCATATAAACGTGTGTGTGACCTCTGCTTTATCTGTTGACAGGTCAGAAAAACAGAAGAAACGAAGCCTCTAAATGTGCTTACCTCTTCCCACAATCATCCTCTGTCAACACTGACTGTGAGTTTTTATGTCATTTACAGCAAGTCATTGAGCTTGTTATGATCGATGTGAAGTTACTGTAAAAGAGCTGTAAAATCAACATGCATGCAACACTGGCAAAAATACCTCAATTCCAGTATGGGAAGTTATATTATAATCATATTTTTATGATTATAAAATACTACAGTTTTATTCAATTATATATTGTTTATAAATATATGCATCACTTTATGTATTATCTTTAAGCAAGGAAATATAGTATCAATAATATATAATAGATAATTTTTTCATCATAATAGCTTGACTTAATTAATAAAACAATTACTACATTAATATATTATTGATAATTTTTGTTGTCTAATTACAATCTACAACCAAAACATGATAAAACAAAATAAAACAATTACTTAATTAATATATTATTGATGACAATTTAATTAATTGTTAAATTAAAATAATTTAATTACTCGTGTATTTTTAAATAAATAATTAATATATAATTAATATAATATATATAATAATATAATTTTAAAAAAATTATTTATGTAACTAATAAATAACTACTTTAATAGTTAATTTAATTTAATATTTAACTAATTAATATTATAATGATAAAAATTATATATATATATAATATAAAGGTATATAAAGGTATATATATATATATATATATATATATATATATATATATATATATATATAATTTTTAGGTATATAAATTATTTATTGTTTTAATCTATTTTTATTTACTTTAATATTTTATAAAACAAGACAACATGATAAAAAATTATTAAATTAATATATTATTGATAATAATTTAATTAATAACTACATTTAAATAATTTATCTACTCATGCATTTTAAAAATAAATAATTAACATATATATAATTAATATTATGTATATAATCATATAAGGTACAAAATAAATAATTAATATATAAAATCATGTATAAATATTTAAATAATATGTTCAATTTATATCTAATTAATATATTATATACATATTCAGTAGCATATATATATATATATATATATATATATATATATATATATATATATATATATTTATGTAACAATAACTACATTAATCAAACTGTATTGAAATACATATTCTTGCTCTTTAAAATAAATATAATAATACATTTAGGCATTCATCTGTATAATTCCTTTTGGTGCACATATGCGTAAAGTAATCCTTTCTTTTGCTCAATAAACTCTTTATACATTGCATTTTATTGACCAGTGCTTTTCATGTGGATTTCATTTCCAGCTCTATTAACAGTAAATGAGAACAGGACACACGCACGCGAGAAATCCTCAACAGGTAAAGCCCCTCATTATGATTTCATTATGATTATGAGTTAATAATTAAACCTCGTACACACACACTGAGTTCAGCAGGAACAGTAAAGGTCATGCTTTTACTCATTTGTCTGTAAAGAGCAAATAAATCTGTCTGTAAAGGTCTTCATCCTGTTCTGAAGCACATGAATCTGCAGGATACATGTGATAAACATCTGCAGGATGCATGTGACTGTAATGAATGCTCGAGTCGGATGTAATGTGATGATGTTTCTGCCCTTGTGACACACTTTTTTTGTGTTGAATTTGTGCAGAAAAAACTGCGTCTCTGAGGGATTCACTGACACAACAGTATTCCCAGCTGTACACAGAGAGCGAGATGAAGAGGAAACTGAGGTCATATGAGCTTCACAGCAGGTTAGTCACGTGTATGTGTGTGTGTGTGTGTGTGTGTGTGTGTGTGTGTGTGTGTGTGTGTGTGTGTTAAACATGACAGAAAGCTTCTTAGAAATCTAGCAGATTACTATGCATGACGATAGAGATCTCACACACTCATACATAAACACACTTACTCATACCCTCACACATACACACTATTCATACATACACATGTACATACAGTTGAATTAGTCAGAATTATTTGCCCATTTTTTCATAATTAGACATTTAAAGGCCCAACTAGGTTAATTAGGTGAAAGTTAGAGTAATTAATGCCCTAAAATAAATTTGTAATTTTACCCTTGTGTGTGTGTATATCATGTATTTATAAAAGAAAATCAAACATGGAGGGTCGGAAAAACCTTTTGTATGAGGACCTACTTTCTTCCGCCATTCATTCACATCTGTAGCTGATGTCAGAACAGCAGAAAACGTTACTCATTCACCAACGTCACTGTAGAGCTAGTGTTTGAATGATTCTCTAGCATAATGTCTAAAGTGATGACAAAACAGCTCACATTTAAAGATCATAAGGCTGAACAGCGTGAAATGCCATCAGTCTACAGAGATTTCCCAGTATTTCTCTGATGCAATCAGGAGATCACAGTAATTAACCCTGAAAAAGCCAAAGCAAACACTAGCAGATTACTATGGTATAAATACAACACTACAGCATACAAAAGAGAGAGATCGGCTTAGTGTCACTTACCTGTTCTGTAATGGTTTAATCCGCTGTAGTTTGAAGCGTAAGCTAAAAAGTGCTGCTTTTCTCCCCTAAGGACGTATCATGCTGTCTCTGTCTCCCTCTTGTGGTGGAACATCAACTGTCTTTGCTCTGCTCAGTATGACAGACTGGCTGCCAATGTGCTGAATCTCCAGAATGATAAATATGTAAAATAGGCTCTATCTTTATAAATAAACTGCATAGTTGCAATCTAAACAACTACATTCTGTCCTAAAAAGCTTCAAAAGTACATTGTGTTGTCCAACAGCTGCAATATTTGTCAAACTGTAGTCCTCTGCTTGCCACTCGTGTGCATGGAGTAATACACATGGGTGAAGAGGCTGTACGAGTGCTGATATTACTTTAATATCTCACGGCTATCAGCCAATCAGATTCGAGGAACATACGGAACTGTTGTGTATGTAAAATAAATACATATTAAGTGTATACATGCGTACATATTCTACCTAATAATTATATTAATTTATTAATAAACTAAAATTCAGTGTTTCCAGTAAGTCATAACTGAATATTTCACCACAATCAACACCTTTCCCACTGATCTCCATCTTACAGTCTACAAAAGCTGTTATTATTATGACGCGAGTATTTAATGAGAAAACAGTGGGCGTGGCTTTATTTTTTTATTTGTTTTTTTTTTTTACTGCGAGCTGATTGGATGTAGTAAAGTAGGCATTTTATTTAAAAAGATGGGTAAACGGGTTTGGGGAGTGTTAATACAACTGAACAGAGTCCAGGGGTTCGTTCTTCGTACGTGGATTACTCAGTTAGCTGGATTTGGATATTGACGATTTGACACGATCCAGGATCGTTACGTTCTTCAAAGCTGATCCGAGAGTTGTTGTCATAGCAACAGTTCTGCCAGGTCAAACCTGATCGGGAGCAGGTTCAATTCATATAAACAGGATTAGATCGGCTCAGTTCAAGCAAAGATAATACAGAAAGTATGTTCCGAATTCTGATGTTTTCTTACAGTAGTAGTTATATACACTTGGGAAAATGGTACATATTTTTTAACTACATAGGCTACATAAAGTAATAGTTATTAATAAAATAATGATATATATTAATAAAACTTATACAATCTATACCCTCAAATTGAAAGTACAAAGAGAAAGAGAAAGAGAAAACTTATTGATATGAACTTTTTAAATCGCTTTAGTACAAATTGTGTATAATAGAAATGCACAATATGTGACTTTTTTTAAAGCAATAATACATTTATACAGTCATAAACATGTTTTGATAGTTAATATGCCGGTGATTTGATGCTTCACAAAAGTTGCAGACGCCTTTACCAATATGAAAATGCTTTTGTAAACAACCAGTTATTCTTTACACAGATTAAAAAAACGGCTACTATGATAAAGAAAATCTTCTCTAAATGTAGAACTAAATACATTTTGCATTGAAATACATGATGAATACTCTTGACACATGAAAGTGTAAAGCCTGCAGCTCACAACAATCGTGAAAGGTAATTGAGTGTCATATTTAACGCACCCTTTACTGCTAATTTGATGTAAATTTGCTCACATGCATAATTGAACATTAATCAGATGATGTCATTACACTGCTGTGCCGTCAGCCAATCGCTGCATTGCTGATCATGATTTCGAGGATCGATAGATCTGACCTTCACAACACACGCAGCGATCTCAGATCAGTTTATCCAGACATTCTAATCTGATTCACGAACTTGTTTGAAGAACCAAATTAGCCAGAGATCAGTTATTAAGATTAAAAGATCCAGGATCTGCCAAATCATCTTAGATCATTTAAGCGAGGTACGAAGAACGGACCCCTGCTGCTCACCATTTCTGTTTGTTGTCAAAACTGACAGCTGGAGGGGCGTGGTTAAGTATGTTAGCCACGCCCAATACCTCAAACAGACCTATTCTGAGAGTTTAACTAAGAACAAATAGTGCAGATGTCGTCGTTCGATTACAACATTTTGTTCTTCTTAACATGCACAAATGAAATGTTCAGCACAAAGCTAGCAATGTGCGCCAACAAAATCAATATGGTTAGTTTTGATTTCACGTTTGCTTTAAACCACATCATCATTTCTCCATTCCAGAGATGGCCACTGCGTAAACATCAGCTCCGTCATTCCTGAAAAGGGGCAGATTCTCCTCCTCCTCGGAGACTCCGGCTGCGGGAAAACCACGTTCACCCAAATCCTGTCCTACAGCTGGGCATCCCGTTCCCAGACAGACCCGTTTAACACCCGCCGGCTCCGTCTGCTCCTGCTGCTCCACTGCAGCCAAAATAAAGGGAATTTAAATCAGATTATCAACTCCAGCGTTCAACATGAACGACCAGTGGATGTAAAGCAGTCTCTTAAAGGGCCGGAGGACTGTTTGCTGATCCTCGATGATTATCAAGAGGGAAATAAAGACTTGGAGGAGTTTTTAAAGGACCATCAGACGTGTCGAGTGTTAATAACATCACGTCCTGGAGTTTGTCCAAACCTGGAGAAAACCGTCAGGACTGTATTGCATCTCATTCATAAACCTGAAGAGTCTTCAACATGATGATGCATGCATTCGTATTTGCAAAGACTGTGAGGAGGCATTCAGCGACTCGACGAGAAGGAGCAATGCACACACAAAGTGCTAATTATACAAAGGAGCTGTGTTTATATATATATATAGAGAGAGAGTGAGAACAATGTTTCTACAGGTGGTTTGTCAAGCCCACTCACCTGTGTGAGGCGCACTTCATTAATGCACAATGGTATGGCATGGTGCCTCAGTGGTTAGCACTTTCACCTTATAGCTAGTAGGTTGATGCTTCGAGTCTCATCTGGGCCAGTTGGCATTTCTGTGTGGAGTTTGCATGTTCTCCCCGTGTTTGCGTGGGTTTCCACCAGGGGCTTTGGTTACCATCCAAACACATGCGCTATAGGGGTATTGATTAACTAAATTGGCCATTTTGTGTGTGTGTGTGTGTGTGTGTGTGTGTGTGTGTGTGTGTGTGTGTGTGTGTGTGTGTGTGTGTGTGTGTGTGTGTGTGTGTGTGTGTGTGTGTGTGTGTGAGAGAGAGAGTGTATGGGTGTTTCCCAGTACTCTGTTGCAGCTGGAAGGGCATCAGCTGTGTAAAGCATATGCTGGAATAATTGGCGGTTCATTCCACTTTGACGACCCCTGATAAATATGGGTGTTTCCCAGTACTCTGTTGCAGCTGGGAGGGCATTGGCTGTATAAAGCATATGTTGAAATAATTGGCGGTTCATTCCATTGTGGCGACCCCTGATAAATATGGGTGTTTCCCAGTACTCAGTTTCAGCTGGAAGGGCGTCCGCTGGGTAAAGCATATGCTGGAATAATTGGCAGTTCATTCCCCTGTGGTGACCCCTGATAAATATGGGTGTTTCCCAGTACTCGGTTGCACCTGTAAGGGCATCTACTGTATAAAGCATATGCTGGAATAATTGGCGGTTCATTCCACTTTGGCGACCGCTAATAAATTGGGTGTTTCCCAGTACTCGATTGCAGATGGAATGGTGTCCGCTTGGTTAAGGATATGCTGGAATAATTGGCAGTTCATTCCCCTGTGGCGACCCCTGATAAATATGGGTGTTTCCCAGTACTCTGTTGCAGCTGGGAGGGCATTGGCTGTATAAAGCATATGTTGAAATAATTGGCGGTTCATTCCATTGTGGCGACCCCTGATAAATATGGGTGTTTCCCAGTACTCAGTTTCAGCTGGAAGGGCGTCCGCTGGGTAAAGCATATGCTGGAATAATTGGCAGTTCATTCCCCTGTGGTGACCCCTGATAAATATGGGTGTTTCCCAGTACTCGGTTGCACCTGTAAGGGCATCCTCTGTATAAAGCATATGCTGAAATAATTGGCGGTTCATTCCACTTTGGCGACTGCTAAAAAATATGGGTGTTTCCCAGTACTCGATTGCAGATGGAATGGCGTCCGCTTGGCTAAGGATATGCTGGAATAATTGGCAGTTCATTCCCCTGTGGTGACCCCTCATAAATATGGGTGTTTTCCAGTACTGGGTTGCAGCTGGAAGGGCGTCCGCTGTGTAAAGCATATGCTGGAATAGTTGGCGGATCATTCCCCTGTGGTGACCCCTGATAAATAAGGCACTAAGCTGAAGGAGAGTGAATGAGATATGGAGTGATTGTAAGAGCGTGTCTGGCTGCAAACATGCAAAAACATTTCTGCAATTGAACTCGGGAGGATAAATCTGCTTTCGCTTCCTGGGAATGTTTTGGTTTCCCGTATGTTCTGTTTGTCAGTAAATGGGAGTCGTCTGGCTGCAGATCAAAACATTTCGCAAGACGTTAATTCAGCTGTAAATTTTTTTATAAGACCAAGTACAGGAAAGGAGAAATGAGATCATGGTTATTCAATACTACATTATTAAGACTTGTAGCCTACAGTTGTTGCTATTGCTAACTAATAAAATACGTTTTGTGGCCATAAGAGGCGTTAAATAAAATCGTTAACGTTAAATTACTTATTTTTGACTTGAATTAAAGGAGTTTATGTTTATTTCTGAAGACGTTTCAGCAAAATGTCATGTTGTTACTGAATATTTTTATGTTGTATTTCAAAATAAATGTCTAAACAATTGTAATTAAAGACTATATTTTTCTTATAATGTTGCCAGATATTTTTCTTATTTTAAGCATTTGTTTACATGTAAATGAAGCTCCTAAAATGAATGTTTTTGCCCTAAACATGTATTGCCACTGAATATTTTTTATCAGTACAAATATCGAAACATTCTTTATCAGAATACATTTACTTATTGCAAATTTATTAAAATAAATAAGAACTAACATTTTGGGTAAATGTATATCGATGATGATGATGATGATGATGATGATAATAATAATATTAATATTAGTAATGCATTTTATTTCTTACACCCAAAATTGTACATCAAACATAGTACAGGTCAGGAAAAAAACATTCAATTGAAATAATCTAAATAAAAATAGAACAAAAGTAAATATAACATAAAGTGGGTTAAATCAGTAAGGTTACATTTTATCTTTGATTAGAATAAAATGAGTTCATTTTTAGGCTTTGTTTTTTTGCTTCTGCAAAATGTCATGTTACTGGATTTTTAATGTTTTTTTTAATTCCAAAGGTCTTAACAGTTTTACAAACATTATATGTTTCTGATAATAGCCCCTTTCAGCCTGTGAGCGCCTGCACACGCACATATTACACTGAAAAAAGTGTTGCATGCAGAACTGTTGCAAACAATTTATTTTGTGTTGAATTTAAACAAACAAATTAAGTTTAACAATGTTCAACTTAATTTGTTTGTTTAAATTCAACACAAATAAAATGTTTACAACCACTTAACGTAAAAAAATTGAGTAAATCCAAGGAAACATCTCTGAATAATTGTTTTCAGTGTATGAACATCTCGACATGCGAAAGTGATCCTGAGAAAGTTGTTCACAATATTGATCATCCACAGAGTTTGTAATATAGTCAAATGTTTACAAACACAAGCGCAGCCGTTTAAAGCTCGTTTCTGGTGAATGATGTCAGAATTTAACGGTATTTTGGAATGGATGTGTGAATGCTCTTTTCCGGAAAATTTCCGTAAAGTCCTCGCCTGTGTGAACAGCGCTTTTTTGAATACACCGGTAAAGTCGTTCCGGAAATTTTCCAGATATTTTCCGGTATCACTGTGTGAAAGGGGCTAATGTTGCCAGATATTTGTCTTATTTTTAGCATAAACTTGTCAAATGTTTAAGCAATGTTTATATATAAAACAAGAGATGCATTTTTTGCTCCTGAAATGAATGTTAATGCCATAAATATGTATTGTCACTGAATAATTTTATCAGTACAAATATCTAAACATACTTTAATCAGGAGACATTTATTTTTAATATTTGAAAGTTTTCTTTAAATAAACAAGAACTAACATCTTGGGTCAGTATACATTGGTGATGATGATAATAATAATAATAATAATATTAATTCTGCATTTTATTTCTTACACGCAAAACATCAAGCATAATACAGGGGGGAAAACATCCAATTGAAATAATCAAAATAAAAGGTCAACAATAAAAATAACATAAAATTAGTAACGTTAAATCTTATTTTTGACAGAAGTAGTTAATTTTGACACTACAATGTATGTTTGTTTGTTTTTCAGTAAAGAAGTTTCTGCAAAACGTTATGTTGTTACTTAATATATTTATGCTGTTTTTTTCAGTACAAAGATCTAAACATTTGTAAATAAAAAAAACGGTTTTTATTTTTAATCATATGTAGTACCTAGATGGGAGACCACAAGGGAAAGCTATTGCTGCTGGAAGTGGTGGGTCCTATTGCCCCAGTATATTGATGGGGACTCTATACTGCTCAGTGAGCGCCGTCTTTTAGATGAGACGTTAAACCAAGGTCCTGACTCTCTGTGGTCATTAAAAATCCCAGGATGTCCTTCGAAAAAGAGTAGGGGTTTAACCCCGGCATCCTGGCCAAATTTGTCCACTGGCCTCTGTCCATCATGGCCTCCTAACCATCCCCATATCATGATTGGTATATCATCACTCTGTCTCCTCTCCACCAATCAGCTGGTGTGCACTTTGAGTGTATAGAAAAGCTATATATATATATGCTAGGAATTATTATTATTATTGTTAATAATAATAATAATAATAGTAATAGTAATAATAATAATAATAATAATGCATTTTGTTTCTTACACACAAAATTGTTCACCAAACATAATACACACAAAAAACATTCAATTTATTAATAAAATAAAATAAAAGTACAACAATAGTAAATATAATTACGACAAGCACCAACTTAAAAAGATTTGATCTTAACTTTCACTTTAAACTATCTAATGTTGACGCCTCAAAATAAAATTAATTAAAAAAAACAATAATCTTCTGATAATGTTGCCAGGTATTTTTCTTATTCTACGCATAAACTCATTTAATTTGTTAATATTTGTTTATCTATAACGTAAGACATGCATTTGTGCTGCTGAAGATAACGTGCGTTTATGAATATTTAGATATATACAGTGTATTGCTGTCTAATAAATGCTAAAAGAAGCAGGTCTGACTGACATGTTTTCAACAAATTTAGTTGCAGACGTACCATAACTACCGCTTTATCTGAAGGATTTAAGCTGATTGAGCAAAAACTACTTCTCCCTTAGTCTTCCAAGATTCTGTAAAACACAAACCACACAGTTTTTACACTTTCATTTTGTTTATTGATGTAAACTGTTATGAATTAGATCTTTTAAAGTCAATAATGTTGCTGCTTTTTCAGAAATGCAGTCAGCTCATGCATATAGGCTTCGTAGAAAATGTGTTTCTCATATTATCACATTCAGACTGTTAGTTTCACTTTCACTTTAAGCCGATCAGGATTAACTTGCATTTCTGAGAAAATACGCTCTGCTTTAACTGGCAGTGAAAAGGGGAAGTGCTGGTTTCCCGCAAGGGTTAGCCAAAAAGAAATGCCTGAACATCATCTGGATGGCTGTGTTTAGAAGGGTTTGCACAAATGGATGCTTATTTAACTGTTACATGACAGCGGTAAAGCCCTGACTGGTGGATCTCAGACTAAATGCTTTTCAGCTACTCCTACAGCTTTAGTAATGCAATAGAAAGGGAATATATGAATAGATAGGGAATACAGTGCATCGGGAGAGTATTCTTACAGCCTTATTCCAAAGTGGATTAAATTAATTTATTTTCTCCACATTCTACACACAATCCTCCATAATGACAATGTGAAAAAGAGTTTTTGAAATTGTTGCAAATTTATTTAAAATAAAAACCCTGTAAAATCACGTTTATCAGTATTCACAGTCTTTATGTCCGGCAGTGTCCAGCCATTTTAAGATCTCTGCAGAGATGTTCAAT